TATAAAATTTTAATGTAATCGGAGTTTAAACGATAATTTTAAATAATAAACTAAAAATAAGTGTATAAACTACTTACAATTTATTGATGTTTAACACACAGGGTAAAGTATTTATATTTAATTATGCCATATTACATTTACAATACAATATGTACAAAGTATTTAACTAGCTAATATTAATATAAATTAAAATGTCTACAGAAAGTAATGAACTAAAAGCACGCGATTAATAGCCACCAACTCGTGAGTCCAGTTGCCCTCCAGTTCCTCATCGCACGACTTCGGCACGAATGTCAGGTTCAGCTCCCGGGGCACACCTCCCGTGTACAGTAGGCTGTCCGCCAGCAATTGGTTCAGATTAGCGGTCACGTCGTAACAGTTAGTAATAGACACCGACACCGCCTGCCGGCGCGTTTTGGACACACATTTGGTGGGAATGTAGGCCAGGGCTCCGATAAAGTAGGGACTCTGCTCGTAGGCCTGGCTCTGGGCCGGTAGGTTGAGGTAGACGTGAAATATGACATCGCTCTCCAGATAACCTACGCTGAGCTGTAGGCTAGACCTCAGGTGTCGCACCTCCTGGCGGGCCATCTGAGCGAACCGCACCTCATATCCCGGTTCGATGGGAAGGGTAGCCGAGAGTCGGTCGGCCTTAAAGCTAAGGGCGGAGGCGTTCACTGACGCCCACAGTTTGGGCGACTCCTTAAACTCCGGTTCCCTGTCGCTCAGCTCCACATACGTGTCGTACCGGTAGCCCAGGCGCCCGGTGTCCAGGAAGTCGGCCACCCGTACGCTCACACGCCTCCCGTTCTCGTCCCAGAAGTGGAACGTCTGGTTCAGGTAACGGGAATCTAGTGGGGGCTGACCCCTACCCCTAATACGCACCCATGACTCCCATATGCGGTCGACCTGCGCGTGGTGTACGAGAAATATGGGATCCCTGGCCGACATGCAGTTGTCCGACATGAACCCCCCGGGACCGCCCACCAGCATATGTACGTTATTGTGGGGTATCATCTCCAGTAGGCCCTCCCCTTCGCTCTGAAAGGCAGGTGCGTCCACTCGAGCGCCGCCTAACGCGTGGCATACGTTCAGCTCATTGTTCTGCTTATTGGTGGCGAAAAAGGCTGTCCTCAGGGCGGGGTTAGGGTTCACGAGTTGGGGGTTCATGGGTTTGCCGCGATTCACGTCATCGCACCGTTCGCTGACGTATAGGGGGTTGGCGTGCGGGTCGGCCGGTATCCGGAAGGGTTGCGGTATAGCCCGTTGGGTGGCGTTAAAGTAGTCCCAATAGGGTAGGGCTAGTTGGGGGGCGTTGGCGACCCTACGCATAATACGCTCCATGAAAAACAGGTACATCCGGTGCCACACGAGAAAGTACTGGTGCCCGTGTTGGCACCCGTGCCACCCGTACTCCTCGGCCACGGTGTTCGCTCGCTGGGAGCCGTCATACTTGTCCCACCCGTGGACGTTGGCCTGGAATGCGAAGCCCAGGGGGTCGTGCGGGTCGGCTCGGGAACGGGATTTCATGAGCGCCAGCGCTCGGCGTATGTCTTGCCATTCAGCGTACGTGAGCTGTTTGGCTGACTTGCGTACGTGTACTGTAGGGCTACCGGCGCTCTGGTGGACGGTGTGTCGGATGAGTAGCGCGACTGTCGTTAGGATAAGCAGCGTTTGAGCCATTGTTTTGGCTTTAATGGTACGCAACACAAGTCGGGGGCTGGTGTTTAGGAGTTCACTCAACCCAGTGTTAGGGTGAGGGGAATGGGATGTCTGTACTGTATGTGATTTAGCATGTGTTTTGTGTTAAGTGTAAAAGTCTGTCAATTGGTCTATAAATTATTAGATTTAGATTTATATTAATTTTTTTATATTATTTTAATTCCGGTAGTAATGTTAGAAATTTTTTTATTTGATTAATTCAGATATTTTTGATACTATCATAGGATTAACTAAAAATATTAAATATGTAATTAAAATTAGATTTTCTAGAGAATTTAAAAGTAAATAATTTTTTATTAGATCTGATTATTATTTTAAGGAAAACCTTTCACTTAATTATGATATTAAACTTGAAAATATAATACAATAACTCGAATATTGGTGACTATATCGGTGCCAATAATTCACTATTAGATTCACTGATCCGTTAATTTTAATTATGATTATAAACATAAGCATACTGTATATAATTAATTAATATGTTAAACCTAACATGGGTGTTTACTGTATTATACAATTGTGTTGACTACTCATTAAGTATTAATTGATTTATTGCGTGAATGAGCATTACATTAATTATAATAATTAATTTAGTATACCTGTTGACTGTAAATAAACTATTTTTTAAAATTTTTGATCGCTAATTGTATTGAACTTTAAAATACTGAAAAAAATACTTAAAATATATGCTTTAATTGTATTAATTATGTATTTTAAGGAAATTCTTAAAAGTAAAATAAATCACTTATTTTCCCCATAACTCTCACTATAACTTCATTTCTTATATCATTTCTTATCGTATATTCAATGCATGAAAATGTTTATCAAAGCAATGAATAGATAAATGAGAAAAACATGTTTGAAAACTACTCGCAAATTCACATCATTTTCATTACCATAGCATTTAATGGACTCATATGTAAGTAAATTAAAAATTTTATTTGATATAGCTGATTTAATATAAAAATTTATTATTTTAACTAGCTTGCATCCCTTACCGCGAGCACCAGCCCCTTATCAAGCACTACCAGCCCCCTATACAATCGCACATCGACGAGCACCTGGATCATCATCACCCACACCATCAGCACCAGCAGCACCTGGACCTCAACGAGCCGACTGTCCGCAAGACTATACTGACCCACGAGTTACACGAGTTCACAGACGTTCCTAAGACTGAGCAACAAATGACATTAAATTTGCCACAAATTCAAGTGAATAACAAGAATAACGGCTACGAGGAGGACAGGGTCTATGACGAGCACCGGGATCATGACTACAATAATGATGATACTGTGGACAGGTATGATGGCAATCAGGAGCCTACGTACTGCGAGCTGGTAGAGCTCACATCGAAACACCACCACCTGTTCGGCTACGTGTCCCAAGACTACGAGAATCACGTTCTCTGTCATGTGTTCAAGAAGTTCAAGCATTACATACCGGCGCCCAAGCGGCCGCTCACGTACGAGGAGTGGGCCCGCAATAGGAGGGATAGGATTGAGTTTTTGCAATCATTTATGAGTGGATTTTTTAATCTAGGTATGAGACGTAACAGGTGATATATATATTGTGTAATTAACATGCTTATTACCCGTAATAAAAATATTATATTAGAAAATTTTGCCATGCGATATTATGTTATCTATTATACTTAATATGCCTACATGCTTATTAATAAAAATATTATGTTAAAAAATTTTGCTTATTTTCATTTAATAATAATTTAATAATTATAAGTTTATTTTTAAGTGATAATTAACTTTTATTGTTTGTAAATAGTTTAGTATACAAAATACTGCGATAATTGAGTAAAGTACAATTTTTTAAATTAAAATTTTATATTAAAAATATTTCACATAATAAGCTCTCAGTGTCGACCGGAATGGGGTCTTATGAGGGCCAGGAATTCCTCACGAGTTTTATGATTTTCCCGGAACTCCCCGACCATAGAGCTGGTGATAGTTTTGCTCTGGATCTTTTGCACGCCCCGGGTACTCATACACATGTGACTAAATTATTTACAAATAATTAGCTTTTAAAATATAAGTTGTATAATGGTATTAAGATGTTACATACCTGGCCTCAACCACCACGCCTACACCAGCGGGATTCACAGCTTGCTGTATGGCATCGGCTATTTGACGGGTCAACCGCTCCTGAACTGTAAATTTTATCAAAATTTAAATTTTATTTTTATAATTATACAGCAAATAGTAAACTAAATGTAAACTGAGTTTAATTTAGATTTTTTAAACAAAATACAAAAATAGCATAAATCCTAATATTTAATTTACAATAAATAACTTATTCAAACTGTAACGAAATAATTCATAATTTTATAATGTTTTAAATACTGATAAAAACATTATAAATTCCGATTCACCTTATTACAACAATTATTTTGTTATTTTCGGTTAAATAAATAAAAAAAACATTTTTGAAATTAAAAAAATATGCATACCCTGTAGCCTCCGGGAGAACATCTCGACCACCCTGGCCAGTTTGCTGAGTCCCAGCACCTGTTTGTTAGGCAAGTAGCCGATAGACACGTGACCATAGATGGGCACCAAATGGTGTTCGCACATCGAGAAGAACTCAATGTCTTTCACGATAACCATCTCATCGTGATCTTCGTCAAAGATGGCGCCGTTCATGACCTCATCCAACTTGACGTCATAGCCGTGCGTGAAATATAACAGCGCATTGGCCGCCCGGTGCGGTGTCTTCAGTATGCCCTCCCTCTCAGGGTCCTCGCCAATGGTTACCAGTATTTCTCTGTAAAGTTTGGCCAACTTTTCGACCGTCTCCTCCCGGGAGGTCTGGTTATTATTGGCGTCTTTGATCACTAGTTTGTCAAACGTTTCCGTTTGGATTGAATCAAGCATTTGCTCGGATTTGTTAGCAACACCTGGAGTCATGGTTTATATGCAGTTATTCAGGGTATGTTTAGTACGTTTTAACGACTAGTTATATAACAACTATTAGTAGTTATAAGTTTTTTTTATGAATTGGTTTCTGGTTTTAGTCCGCTTTATATACATGAATAAAATAGCATGCATTGCGTGATATAATTATGAACCATAACATAGTAATCAGGGCTAGTTATCTCGACTTCGTGGAAGTTATTTCATTAAGTGCTAAGCCGGTACAAATATCACGCGGACAGGTATTTCATAACGATTCATATGATTGACGTGCGAGACATGAATGTTTATCGCATAAATGTGCCTGGTATGTTTGGATGAAGGTCAATTTTATATGTATTATACAGTACGGTATACCTTAGTGGGGGGTTTATAATATCATCAATGTGTGTTTATAAATTGTACTTTATTTGCTAATTATAGTCTTTTGTAATTAATTATAGTTTTGTTTAAGGGTGTTTTTTGTTTTAATTTTTGAAAAATTTAACAAGTTCAAGTGCTCCTTTAATAATATTGTTTTGAGCAATTGAACTAGGTTCAATTGCTACTCAAAATTCCTTATTATTCTAACCCTATCATGCCATTATTAATTAGATAATCAGCATTCAATATGATTCATAATACATGTTGTACTAGGACAATGTTTGGTACGTATAATCTAAGGGTATTTCCTAGTATTAATGAAATAGTAGGTCTAATTTTTCTAGTTTAGTAACAAGGTGGTCCACTTCTAATTATTATTGAAACTGCATCCTGGTGCTAAATATACTGTACGTACAATAATGTAACAGCATATTAACGATAATAATTGCGGGAGGGCTAGTAATATGTCAAAGGTACATTTCTGACTTATTTCTGACTTATTTCTAATTTATTTCTAATCACAAATAAAGTGCTAATAGATTATAATTATTTAATATAGATACCATTATTAAATAGTTGCAATTGTTACTAAATATATAAATATTTTATTTGTTATCAGTGTACTTTTTATGGTCGACTAATACTCAAGCGTCAATTTTGTCATGTATATTATGCATGCGACCATTTGATTAAAAGTGCAATAGGGTTAAAGTTTAATTTTTAGTTGGGTACATTATGACAGGTTAAAATATACTCAATAATCTACGCAGGGTTGCCACCCATCCTCCTTTTGGAGGATTGTCCTCCAATCGGGCCCTCAAAAAACAGTCCTCCCGAGGGATAGTCTGCTAGTCAAACAATCACATGTTTTTGTTAATTTATCCAGATTATATTATTATCATAAATAATTCTAATTAAGTTAAACAACATTTCAAATTAATTTTTAATATAATTTCATTTATTGTAATAAATATTTTTTTGCACACTTTGTAATAATATAAATACTGTAAATAATATTTTTGAAAATTTATATTTCAAAATATAATAAATGTATTAATAATTTAGTATTTGTTTGCGTTTTGTTTGATTAATGATAGAAACTCTTCGCGAGTTTTGGGGTCCTCGCGAAACATACCGACCATAGAGCTGGTGATGGTTTTGCTCTGGACCTTTTGCACACCCCTGGTGCTCATGCACATGTGTCTATGTAATTAATCAATGAGATTAGTCTTAAGAAGTTTTTAAAAAACCATACTTGCTAAGCTAAATAATTGCGCGCATTTTAATATTAAACTAAGTAGTAATTAATATATAATGTAATACATACGTGGCCTCCACGACCACACCGACCCCGGTAGGATTTATAGCCTGGGTGATGGCCTCGGCTATTTGTCGAGTCATTCGTTCCTGAACTGTAAATTTAAATATATTTCAGATTATTTTTATAAAACTATGTAAATATAATAATTTAATATACGCGCACATATTATTGTGTTTATCTTAAATATAAATTAAATTATAAACTTAAATAAAACTTAAATTAAAATTAAAATTATAAATATAAATCTTGTTCACTATAAAACTGTAACCAAGTAATATATTGTTTTATTATGTTAATTTATTACAAATACTTGGTTACTACTAGAAATCCAATATTATAAATTATTTTATAACTTTTTAAATCATAAATATTGTATAATTTTAAAACAGACATACCCTGCAGCCGCCGGGAGTACATCTCGACCACCCTGGCCAGTTTGCTGAGTCCCAGCACCTGTTTGTTAGGCAAATAGCCGATCGACACGTGACCATAGATGGGCACCAAATGGTGTTCGCACATCGAGAAGAACTCA